GGGGGGCCGTGGCGATTTGGGGGGCGGGGCGGTGGCCACAACATGGGGTTGGCACCTGTATTGCAGGTCGAGGCGACGCAGGCCCCGCATGGACGACGCTCTTGACTGCCAGCCAGCAGCGGTGCAGGCCCGGACCGCATGCCCGCCGCCTGGACCCACGCCGCTCCCCCACAACCTCGCATACCCAACCCACCCGCTTCCCCTGCCCCTGCCGAGAGGCCCCCACCACCCTGTAATCAACCTCCATCCTCACCCGCCGCTATGTGCGCCCGCAGCCCCTTCACGTCCAGCCCGGCCTCGTTCAGGATCGCCCCGCTGGCGTCACTCACGGCGGTCACCTGGTGACGACCACGGGTGACATGGGCGACACGGGACGCCACGAGCATGCGGGGCCGGGCCCGGCAAGGGCGCGCCGGCCGGGCCGAGGGCGCCGCACTGACAGCCCACCAGCTCGACCAAGGCCCAGCGTGCAGGGTCCCAGAGGGGACGCGGCTCGGCGCCGCGACTGAAGGGTCTCGAGCAGCCAAGGCGCCGCAGCGCCGCGGGGCCCCGAGACGCCCCTGCCACCCCGGCACCTGCGCCCCACGCCCCTAGTCCCCTCCCAACTCCTCTCTTCGCGCCCCTTCCACCCCCTCCCCTTGCACCCCACTCCCATGCCAACCCACCTTCCCGCCGTGCTCGTCCAGTATCTGCGCCGCCCACGAGCCCACGTTCCCAAAGCCCTGTCAAATGGTAATGGCAGCCAGGTGGACGGGCGTGGGTCATGCGCTGGGTGGATCGGGGGAACAGGTACGGAGCGGGCGGGCGCTGCTGGGAGCAGCGGCGTCCGGCCCCGTCTGCCAGCGGCGCCCGAGCCCCTGGACAGATCCAGGAGCGGGCCGCCTCGAGACAGTGGAGTGAACCCTGTCTTGTCCTGCTCTGCCCTTATCAATTTTATCCAACTGTATCATGCTCTTGTGCGCACCTGGATGACAAATGAGTGATCTGAGATCTTGCCGGCCTGGGGTACCAGGGGCG